CTTCAGTTCTAGAAGGCCCTGAAAACTGACAAGTCCCACTGTAAAACTACTTGGGCATCTCTTCGCAAACTCACAAATAAGAAATGGCATATCAAGAAATGAGAAATATAACTTGCTACCAGACTACGGCTTCAAATCTTACTTTGACGCAAGAACGTAAAAGCAGAAGATGTGAAAAGTCAGAATACTGAGCAGGTCCGACAACGTTGCAAAGAATACCGAAAATCCAGATATGCAAGCTATAGGAAGAAATCTAAATCCCAGCCATACACTGGCCGCTGAGAGGTAATCTGGAAAAAAAATAGATTTTTTGGAAGTCCCATCATGGGTAGAAATGAAGACAGAAAGGATTAACCTTACTTTGCCATACATCTATATGATAGGAAAAGAAATTAGCAAGTGTGACATTCAAAGGTGCATTAAGCTTCAAGCCACCCGGAAACTGCGTTAGCCACTGAATTAGCTGGAAATGAAGATTTACAAAAAAATATAAAAGCACGATTTTTATGAAACCTAGAAACACTGAACTGCGTTTCCTTATTTAAAAACTTTTGCTCAACATACTTTTTACAAATTTGTAAACTTTTTTAAAACAGTTCCTATATAAAGAATGTTACCATCTCTAACCTCGCAATCGTGAAGTTTAATGCGTCCCAAAAGTAATCCGAAAAGAAATCAACTTCGCTTAAAACGTACCACAGATAAAGTCCCAAAATAGTATCCAACAAATGAAGCTGTATCCTGAAAGTGAATTTTTGTAAACGTGTTCGGGTTTCAAAGCGACTCGTTTTTGACCTCTAGTTCACAAAGACTTGGTCGATGCACAAAGATTTTGAAATTTTTCGTCGAATTCACTGTTTTTGCAACAACGACCTGAACTAGAAAGTCTTAGTGGAGCTTCTAGATCCATGCAACCTTGACTTTATTTCGCGTGAATGAATCTAGTAAAGTTCTGGTTTATTTCTTAAGGTCTGGAAAATCTCAGTTTTTTATTTGTTCGAGTGACTGTTACCAATGAAGGCACTCCTTACTCCCGACATCTTTTATTCACTTAATCTTACGGGTCACCTGGATCTGGATGCTTATAAAGTGGAGATCACTTGAAATCAAGCAGGAATAACTTCAATATACAAGACGCTGCGAAAAAATTATCAATTTCGCCCTGTGTGCACCTCGTAGCTAAAATTCAGGTACAGAAACTTAGTAAACCTGAACTGCTGTAGCAAACTAGGCAATGTCCACTACTGACAGTCCGACCCCTTGTGGGTAAAAACATGAACCTAAAAAAGAACGTACCTGTATTCAAGAACCCACTTTTTATGCAGCCTGCAGCAAATTGCCGAGTGCTCAAATGTTTTCCTCAAAAGTGTAGTGAACAGTGACGAACTCATCCACCAAAAAAAAGCATGAAAATAATCCTGCAAATACAACAACACACGAAGACAAAATTCGAAGCTTTGGGTAAAGCGATTTCACGGCTGAACCACTACATATATAATCATTATATATATACTCGCGTTCATTTCTAATTTTATGTCCAAGAGTACTGGCGGGAAGATGAACTTGTTTTGGAAACGGCTCCAGCAAATTTGGCGCAGTGCCACTGCAATGTAAAGAGGTACCTCTACGTTACGCCAGCGGACTCCGGAAAGGTATGCAAAACTTTTGTATACACGTTTGTATGAGGTGTGACAAAGAGCTTTTGTTTAAAAGTGTTTAGCCTGTTTTTTTTTTTCAGAATTTCATGCTTTTTGGCTTCCACTCTGCCGAGATTTTAGTAGAAATGCGGGGGCGTTTTTGTTTTTTACACATTACCTCTTAATTTAATTACTTTAATAACTCAGTTAGTTGTGCGGAAACAGCTATCAGTTTTCTTATTATAGGATTCTACGGAGTTAAGAGTTATGAAATGTGAGAAGACAGTGTAGGGTCTGGACCACTACGAGGAAGATACGCTGTTTAAAAGTGGTTTTTGAAAAAAATCTCATTTAATAATAATTAAGGAAATATTTAAAAACAGTAATAGAAAAGTAATAGACAGTGAAAAAAAAAAGGCTATGAAAGAAGGGCAGCAATACTACCAGTGTTGATTTTTTTCTGCCTGTTTTCGGAAGGATGATGGTTCTTTTTTAAGCAAAAAGAAGAAAAAGAACAAGTTAAACACTTTTAAACAAAAGCTCTTTGTCACACCTCATACACACGTGTAATACAAAAGTTTTGCATACCAGATTCATTCCCAATTTTGTGTGATAATTCTTTTGCGCAGAGAAGCCTTATTCTGGAGGAATTCCAACGGTTTTGGCTCAATGCCACTGTGTATTAAGAAGGCAGCCGGGAGTTATCCGAATTACTTCCGTAAAAGTGTCATTAAGTTTTGTTTTAGTTGTGTGCGTGATGTGTTGTTGATGTAATTTTATTTATGTATGTTCAATCTTTTCGTATTCCAAATCACTCGTTGTTCGGTCGAATTTCTGCCAAGAAATTGCTGGATATTTCGAAAAACCTTTATTTTTGAATGTTACTTTGTAACTTATTTACTGTTTCAATTTTATTTGCATCCATAAAAATTTCTTATTTTTTTGTTTTTGTAAAGAATGGATATCGTAGATAATAAATATATTAAAAAAATAGGGTTTGCCCAGCAATAATGTAGAAAAAACGGTCTAGATGAAATAACTAAAAACGCGATTTTGCAATAAATGAAAAATGCTCAAAGAAAGTTGCTGTAGGGGTAATTTTTGGGGAAGGGAAAGGCAAAAAGGAAGAAAAGGGAACTCGGTTGTCATTCAGGTTTTTTATATTGGAATTCTAATACAGCAATGGCCTAGTACTAATCAATTTTCTAAAAGTAATCTTATTTTTTCGAGTGGAACTAGTTACCGTAGTACTGTAGTAAAGTTGTATTATGAGTATACAGTATATTGTATATTATATTTCATATATTATTATATATAATATATAATGTACAACATTTTATATATAATGGGCCATACCGTGT